TGCACAGCTCGCCTTTTACCCAAATGCCATCAATCACCGCCCCAAAATTGAGGGCGTGGTTCTTGAAACCCCACGAGTACTCATCGGTTGCCTTGAGGTGGATCCTGAAGGGCTCATTATCTTTGCATTCGATGTATTTTGTGACCGCTCGTGGGCGCTCATGGGCTCCGCCTGTTTCGGGTGGATCGTCATATTCCTTTGCAGTGCGGCCACCGGTGTAGATAGTGACCTCTAGGCCTCGCAACCCTTGGATAATCGCCATTCTCAGACCTCAGCTTCGAAATACCTATGCGTCGACTTAAGATATTGTGTGTATCTACTAAGTATTGCTTAGAGCCCATAAACGTGAAGCTTAATGTAGCTTCTGACGAGGACGGTTGTAGTAACTTAGTGTTACAAGTCGGGCAGCTGTAGCTTTGGCAAGAGCTGTCAGTTGCTTTGCGGAGTTGAGAATGCAAATAGTGCAGGTGTATGTGTACTTATGTCATGAGGTCGGGTTTTTGATTGAAAATCATGCATTAGACTTGATGTAGAGAAACGCTCCCCGGAGATGTGACGACGCAGCAGGACAGAATCTTATGCGGAGGGAAAGTGGTTCCGATAACACTCCCGAACAGCGCGACCACGGGCTTCTTCAAAACTAAAAGTGCCGAAAATTATTCTCGACCAGTTAGTTATCTTGGTGTGGATGGATCTGGGGAGCTGTGGGAAAGACCATAGGCAAGCTGCTTCTGAGGGAAACTTTGAATCAAGTACTAGGTGGATTAAATGTCTACTATAATGAGAGAGTGACGATGTCTGGAATATGGAGAAGTAATCTAGTGTGTCATGTTGATCTAGGAGATGTCCTAATGCCTTGGTCCCTTGGGGAACACCATGTGGGTTGAATGGTTGTTAGTCAAAGGAAGTAGGTAGCTAGAGAGATGCGGCGCAGACGATTATCACGCATCAAATGACCACTGGTGACAGCGAAAACATAGCAGAGATCATATAAGGGCGACTGCGTTTGTGATAAAGCGGGAAAACCCGGAAGCCACACGTTCCAGGTCCCTTCTCTTTGGTGGGTAGGTCCCTGAAATCCCAAGTTCAAAGCTCTCCTTGGGTTTGTCCTCCTTCCTGACTTCAGCCTCAAGAAAAGCGATAAACCCTCTAGAAAGAAGCAAGAGGGTCCAGTATATTGCCATCACAAGTGTCCAGCCGTGGCACGATCGGCATACCCTGTTCCCGGCAGGGTATCCCAGGAAAGCCAGCCCGCTTTGATCAATCTCGGGTCAAAAAAAAAATTCACATTAAGATGCGAGGTACATATCTCACGAAGGTCGGCGTGCCCATAAAATATAGGGATTAATTAAGTTAGCAATTATTCGGCTTATACGAAAAGCAGAGATGGCAATGCAGAGAATACGGGGCCGACGGCATTAACGCAATCCGGTATAGCAACCCGCACCTAGCGAACCGTATTCAACTTTAAGTAGAGCCGAGACCGTCTTCAATTACTCGGCTCAGTGGATCGCCGAGATCGTACCACGGCACCGATCTAAGGGGGTACTTCGCCGTTAGCGCGACGCTGCCCCAACGCGGACATCCGAAGCGCGATGCAGAAGACATAGGGAAGCTTGATTATTAACAATACATGGTCGTTCCTGTTGCGGACGCCATGGTACATAAAATGCGTCCGTTCCTGTCAGCGGGAACGTCATTTTTATTGATTGGCTTCAGCTCGCGCACAGCAACCCTATTCACATGGATTTGAACACTGCCAGGAGAGATTATAGCTTCGTTACCGTCGCGGATACATTAGTCTATATTATGTTCGCCCTGGGTCCGGTTCAGCGAGTAATTTCAGTCTGGCCGACTCTCCCCTGGGAAGGGGGTCGTGGTAATCGTTGTGACTTTTGGCGGGTTGTTTCGGCGAGAGTTCTGGAGCACAATACGAAGCCTGCCAGGTAGATAATACAATGCATAGTGGTAAATCCATGTTGTTGGCAGGGGCGTTCCGCTTCAACTACAATCTGCGATGGGCCCGAGTTTATATAGCGACCATGAACGTAGTTTATTGGCAAATTTACTGCATGTGCCAGGTGGAAATATTGATTCCATATCGCCACCATTACAGTGTCAAATCGCTACTTCCGCAAGAAGATGAATGGTATTCAGAAGGTTCCAAGATATCATAGAGAATACTAGCCAACACATCCTTCGTCTCTACTGTTGGAGTCGCGTAAGAGCCCTCTTGCTGCGGCATGTAGATCAGTCAGTGCAGCTCACATCATCCTAGCCCCCGTCATTCAGCTCATAGAGTGCATCGTTATATCGAACTAGACGAACCACATGCAGAAGCATAGAGACCGAGCGAAGCCATCGTAAACTCCTAAGAGGCCAGTTTCATATGCGGTACGAAAGTAAAACCGTAGTAAGTCTGTATGTTATATTCTACGCCTTCTACGTAATGTCCTCTGGACGCCATTCGCTTAAAATTGCTGTCTAAGATCTTCTGGGTAAAGCAGATGGTAGTTTATGGCGCACAGATGAATGCCAGGCCCGATTTTGTTCGAAATAATTATTGTGGATGATCCTCAGACTAGATAGATGTCGTCAGATGATAACACGTGAGCTATTCCTGACACACCCTTTCTGTGAATAGCTGCGTGAATTGACAGATTCGAATCGTACAAGGTTGTCATTACGCTGGAATTAAATAGTGGGTTAATCGGAAACGATATTATTGAGAGAAAGCTAGGATATATTTCTGCATGCCTACGAATCAGATAGACAATGGTTTACAACGGGATTCTGTCGTTATAAGAACTACGTTTTTACTGCATTAACGACAAGGAGAAATCAAGAGGAAATGGGCCTTCGACCGGCACCGTACACGAGTTCCCCTTGGTTGAGCTGTATCTAGCCCAGTACTTGCCAAGAACTTAGATGATCAACATTCAGTGATTGGTCTCGTCTCCGAGAGTTACACGTTAATGAACCACAACCCACGGCATCGAACACAATAGGTAAAAATAGCAACAGGGAACCAACATTAGGTCCATAACGTCTCCATGTGACACTGTCCTACGTGGATATAAGCTCCTTCGGGTTTCAGGCCGCGTCAGTGACTGCACTTTTCCCAGGGCACGCTCGGTGATGATGCAATGAATTAGACGCTAGCAAAGTGCGCAGCAAATTATAACTACAAGCCACTTTTAACCATGTTACTACTTGGACATAATCATAGACAGATAACATGACAAACGAGATTGCACATTAATTACTACGTTCAGATTTTATTCTACATAGCTTATAATTGTGGGTTTTTTGTCTGGAAGTGCATTTCAGGTTTATGCTCTCAACCAGATTATAACATAAGACTCTACGATGATAAAAAGTTGAGAAGGATTCATTTGGAGCAGGGGAGTTGCCTCCGGCATGTTTGCAACATTGCCCGCCGGAATCACATCAGATCATGTAGGTATGCAGGGCGTTACACCAACGCTGAGGGAGCAGTCTGACAGGATCATGTTGTTCCTCAGTAAGCACCGTCATCTGGTCGACGCCTCTTACGACAATACAGAACCAGAGCGGGTTTCTCAAGCAAAGGTCCTTGGTTTATCGATGAAGATAGCGGAATATTTAGCATTGGACGGCAATTTGGGCGGTTTGGACGCGAAGTATAAAGCCATGCCTTTCCTTTCCTCTGGTTATTCTGGGGACGCTCCTCAGATACGCTTGCTTCTCACATTAAATCAAACGGCAGTTCCATCCATCCATACCACATCTCGTAACAAAACCCATTTCAAGATGAAGACCATCATTGCCATCGCAGCTCTCCTCGCCTCTATCGTGGCTGCGTCCCCGACCGGCAATGGGAACATCCCTGCCTACGACCCTCGAGACATCACTCCCGACGGACTCTGGAAACGCTGGTGTGATGGCTCGCCGGTCGAGGACCCCATCTGCCCACTTGGTGCTTTTTGGGTAAGATCCTGACGCTCGCGGTTGGATTTAGGAATATCGGCGAACTGATTAATTTCCTTTCATTCAGTGCGGTCCTGCCGATGGCCCTGGCCAGTGCATCCCGTGCGGTTCAGCTTGTTAAGAACCCAGACACAAGACGGTGAATGCCCACATAGCATCTAAAGTATTAAGGGGTCCCCCATACGTAACTTGGGTTCGTTGCTGACGTTGCATAGTTATCAAGAACCGTGGGTAGCCTATGCACAAGGCAGGGACGATGATGTTGGTGATTGGATGAATATTTTTCTTCCGGCTGCGAGGACGCTTGCTAGCCAGGTGTTAATATCTTCTAGCTATTCTCTTGATGTTGCTCAATAGCCTATTGAACTAGCCGCTCGTTTAGATCCAAAAATACACATATCTCGAGATAACTAGCTGTTTTAAGTAACCTGACTGTAATGATCCGTAGTATAAGTCCATGGTATTGGCGATTTGGGTGCAGTTAACCCTATTAGGCACGTCGAGAGACTTGATTTAGATGAACTATGCTGAAATATAGTAGTCGTAAACGTCATAAGTGTTATGCCTAACACTACATGGAGAACTCGAACAAATCTAGACTTCACTCAAAAATATCAAGGTAATTTCGGTCTATCAAAGGTGGGCATATGGTTAGGCATGCCTCACGGCTGCTTGGGCCGGTGATGGTGGATTTTATATCGAAGACCTTCGGAGCAAGTAAGGCCAGCTGACTGGTTATCGCTAATGGTCTGGTAATTTGCCATTTCCTCTCTAATAAGCACTCAAAGAGGTTGTCATCACTCGGGTCTTGCAAAAGCAGTATTGGTAATACTGACCACGTGCGTGCTAGCCGACGCACAGACCTTACATTGGGTATGTGCAAGATAGAGTAGCACTGACTAACACCAAATAAAAACTCCCAGAAAGACAAGAAAGGGCAAAAAGAATCAAGAAAAATGAAAGTCGGATGAAATAAAAGGAAAAACTTTGGGGTTGCTGCTCCCAGTTTAACTGGGAGGCATCAGGAATTGAGCCCGATGCGGGGGTCGAACCTGCCAAGATTGTCAGTATTATAGTTGAACGTATTCGTGCATTGAATATACTTAGGTGGTAACTCACCCGCAACCTTGAGATTAAGAGTCTCACGCTCTACCGATTGAGCTAACCGGGCGTTGATTCGTTGGTGATTTGGCGTTGCCGAATGATTGGTTATTATTTCGTTGGGATAGATGGATGGATGGATGTGGTTTTAGTAGCGAAAGACTGGGGCTTCGTTAGGGTCGGCTCAGCCAAAAATCAGTCAGTCGCTAGGTAGGTACAGGCAGCCCCGTGTACATTTATGCAGCTATGTACATTTTTGCATAATTTATTATTCCATGGCAGCCCCTTATAGCTTTTTCAATGTATAGAATAATTAAACCCATTCATTATACTCTCCTAAAGAATCATCCCTCATGTTAGGGAAGGAAATCACAACTTTAGAAAAAGCCCAAAGGTAGTAACCTTCTTGCGGTACAAAGCTGCGCTATGCGGAGCAAAGAACTGCATCTTGTTGTCGAACAATATTAGGCCCAATTAATGCTTCGCATAACAACATCGTCTACACCGCATCCAAGCTTTACTTTCTAGCAACCAAATGCTGCTGTACATAAGTTTATTTTGTCGAATCCAGTATTATTGAAAATACCCGCAGTCAATAATGGCAGCCTGTCGTATATACCGTATGTAAATTGGACCCTTGATGCCCATAATCCGCAGCCGTGCATTTCGTGCATTAGCGGCAGATCAAACGACTTACTTCATGGTCGAGTCCACAGGGCATTAGTTAAAACATAAGCAATGCGACCAGAATAGAAAGCTAAGATCGTTGATCCAAATTATTTGCCAACCACATAAATCAGTCTCAAATAACAGCCTGAGAAGGATCATGTAAAAGTGGGAACTTAGTAAGGGTCTCCTTCTTAGGCAGCAAGATTTTGTACATCTCTATATTAATGGTGTTTTGCAACATGCCGTTCTAATCTCGAAAGGCAGCAAGTCGGCTATCGTGTTCATAGTTTCTTACAGCCATCAATCTCTCACTAGCAACTCCAGCCTTGTCTCTACTCCACTATGAAATTCACTGCTGCATTGTACGGCCTCTTCGCCGCCACCGGGGCCCTTTCCCAGGGCACCGATATCGATGGAAACCCATTCCCCGATCTGAAGACCGACGGCCCGTACGCACTGCACGTCAAGGGCCAAGGCAAGAGCTTGATTGACGGTGAGAGCTGCACCGCGAGCCTTGACGAATAAAAGACTCTTCGCTGACGACTGACTGTAGGGTACCTCTACGCCGTCCATGAATTTGAGACGGACCATGATCCGGACGCTGGAGTCTCTGTGCTACACTATCGCCCAGCTCCTGCGCCTGCTGCCTTCAACTCGTCGTACCGCTTCTACTTTAACAGCACGGTAGACGACAACTCGGGGATGGGCTTTGTAGTCACGGATATCAATGCCAGCAACTCGAGCAACTCGGACAAGCTTTACAAAGGAAAGCCTATGTTCTGGACGCACTTCCCCGGTACGAATATTGCGTGGTTGGAGCTCGGTTCCGGCGCCAACCCATACAACACGTACTACCTAGGTTTTGGTAAGGACGGAAGGGCCTATGTGTACTTCCAGGGTCACAATGATGCGGAAGAGGTTGTGGGGAAACGATCAGATGAAACCGCGGTTAAAATTCGTGAGTCGCCTGCCTGAAGGCTAAAGGGTTGAAATGATGATGTGATGACGGACTGACAAGTTTAATTACAGAGAATGGTTGGGTCATTTGCTGGCAGACAACCTACACTATCGCCGGATATACGCTGTCCTGGATTACATTTGGCGACGAGCCACACAACCCAACTTGCCAGCGTGTCGACTTGACTAGAATGAAGCTCTAAAGGGTCTCTTGAATTTCGGGTCTGAACGAACCAATGCTCTCTGCTCAGTAATCAGTAGCAGAGGTGCGCAGCCAATTTCTCTTCGTCAAAAGGTTCTTCAACTGGCCCGCTATACGAAAAAATCGATGTCCGCTCCCACTTCACTAAGCGGACATCTATTTTTCGTATGGCATGACTGGTTGGGTGCTGAACATAGTTACCTTGTACTTCTAGTTGATTGAGGTCCCAATACACGCAACTTGGGATCCTCCAGTGCTGTCTCTGTTCACCTGACCTGTTGTGCCAAGTGTTTGAAAGATATCGTTCATTCTCGCGGTAATTATGTATAAGATAAACACCGTTGTCGCGAGATGATGTGACGTACGTCATTTACACCCAAAAGGCAAATTCAGTCTATACACTCGGTAGTTCTCCGGCCGCCGCCGCCACGAACGACACGACACCACCGAATGCAGGCATTTATTTATTTCATTTCCCTGGAAAAAGATGTCTTCGTCTAGTACCTACCTCAAGCGAGGCGAGTCTCCAAGATTGTTGGGTCAGGTGGAGGCAAAGGCAATATCACTCACTCGTTTTCAATGTTTGCATATTTCGGCAATCAGTACGTATTTAAGTAGTGTCGGAGTGTGAGCATTGGCGATTGATTATGTACTTAGCGACACCCCCAAAGAGGGGTGCATAATACTTCCCAGTAAAGGCAGATCGTTTCTATGCGTAGGTAGGTCAACAATAGCTCGTACAACTTTTCTTGATTAAATCGAAGTATTCATTGATTTGGAGGTACATATGTAGGTAGGAGAATGATTCAAAGTTCAACTGACCACGACCATGACCACGACCATGACCATGACCATGCAGCAGCGTTTTGTCTGATCTAGCGAATATTATGTCTTGACACGAATCAAACCTTATTATTCAAGATAACCTCGAGGACCTCAACTGCCTAGGTTAGACCTCCAGAGTCACATACCTACCTAATACATGCCTGCAAAGGATCGAGGGGCATTTTAATGCCTAGGTTAAACCTTTTGCTTCACTCAGCTGCCGCGATGCATCTTCAGTGAATATCTATCTACGAGGCGCATAGATAGATAGTACTCTTAGATCTGACGCGTATCACGATTGAAATTGAATAGACGTTGTTAAGCTTCTGCCTCCGGCTGCGATCAAGATGCCATGCGAGAGTTTGAGATAGGTGTGAGTGTGTGTGTGTGTGTGTGTGGATCGCATTAAGATGGTAATGTAGGTAGGTACCTACCTGACTAATGTCAAGAAACTGCCATCGCTCCGTCACACAAGACGGGAGGGGACAACACCAAATCAACAAACAGCGTAGTACATAGGTTAGTACACGGCGTAATAGCGCCGCACTCCCCGAGAGCACATAAAGATAGATACTGATGGTTCCCTCCAACACTACACTACAACTCAAGAACCGCTGGCGTGATATTTCACGATTTCACGAGATACCCGTCAACTTCGTCTTCATCATGCCTAGCTCCGAGCTCTTGGCCCACGCGCCGCTCGGCATCTAGCGATAGCATATAAGCTTGCCCTCGTCGCCCACGCTGCCGAGAATTTAGCCGTCGTTGTTGAAGCCGACCAGCCACACGGGCGACTAGTGCGCGTCAAGCTTTGAAAGCTTCGTGAGCTTGTGCTCGACCTGCTCCGGCTGGCCCGGACGGTGCGCTCGCCGTGGGTCCCCGACTTATCGAGCTTGACTCTTATGCCCGAGAGCGCCTGCGAGGACCTGCGGTAATGCGTGTTGTTGTTAATGTTATTGTTGCTCCCACTAGCTTGCGCGCCGCCGCCGTTGCCGTCATCCCCCGGCGGCTTTCGCCTTCCCGTGATGTCCTCTACAGCCTAGCTCTTGCCACCGTCCTCGCCATACGGCGTATCGATCCTGAACACCTGCACAAACCCATCCTGGCCGGCCGTGGCCACCATGTCGTACCCCTTGTAATTGCCGGGGGCCCAGGCGACGTTGCGCACGAGGTGCTTATGCGGGATCTCCAGGGCGAGGTAGAACTCGCGCGCGCGCGTGTGGCGGCGCCGAAGAAGCTGGTCAAGGTGTTCCGGGCCGGGGACGACGAGCGACAGGGCGGCGTAGCACGGCTCTAGGTTAGGGTCGAAGCGTACCTTGAAGCAGGTCTCGTCGCCGCAGAGGGGCTTGGGGCAGGCCTGGAAGTCGTCCATCTTGCCGTACTTGCTAAGCATCTCGGGCTCGTCGCTCTCGTAGACGGAGAGGTGGCCATCGGAGGCGAGCAGGGCGAACTAGGTGCAGCGCAACACGTCGTCGTGCTTTACGGAGAAAGAGCGGAAGGGGTAGCGGGCGGTGCGGATCTCGGAGATGGCGCGGCCGTTGCCGGTGCGCGAGCTGAAGCGGCGGCCGGGCGCGGCGGAGGGGTCTTCGGCCCACAGCTTGAAGCGGCCCTCGATGCCGAGCGAGGCCAGCAGGTTCGGGTACACCGTGGGCGGCAGCTACTACAGCTTGAGGATCTCGCCGGCGTGGGCGGCCCAGTTCTCGCACAGGCGCTACACGCCGTCGCGCACCGGTCGCCGTACGCGTTAAATGCGATGGCCTGCACTAGGTCTTTGTAGCCGTGCTGGATAATGTTGAACGTCGTGCTGCTGTACTAGTCCGGAGTCGTACTAGTAGTGAGCCCGTGGCCGTGCTGGTCTACGGTCGTACCAGTACGGGGTCCTAATCTGTGCTGTTTCAAGGCCCGTACTAGTCCGAGGCCGTACGGGTACGCCGCCTAAAGTTGTACTGGTTCGAAATGTCGTACTGGTCCGTCGTCTGAACCCGTGCTAGTACGCATGCCGTACTAGCCCGTCTATCTGGTCCCAGGGCCGTACTGGTCCGTTGTCTGAACGCGTGCCAGTAAGTATATCGTACCAGTCCGTCGACCAACTCCGTACTAGTCCAGGCCGTACTAGTCCAAAACTTCTTTTCGTCTTATCCGTACTAGTACGCAGTTTTCAATCGCTATAAGTCTACGAGTATTTCCAGAATAGCATACAAACATCCCCTTTCTTTCTCAGACACCTCGAGGGCTTGATTGTTCGCCTCAGGACCCGTCTCGTATATTAAAATGTAAAGTGGGTAGCGAGGGCTTCCATCTCTGTGGCTGTTCTTAGCATTCGATCCAGTTAGGCAACAGAAGCACCACGAGACTTACGGTCTATAGTATCAAGCAAGGCTGACATTAGAGTCTCAGAGGGAGCTAGGTGTCTTAGG